TTGGAGAGGGGAGCAAAGAAACCATGAGGAGCCCAACAGCATCTCTGCTGAAGTAGGACACTCAGGACCTTGGCTATTAGTGCAGCACCTTCCCCCACTAACCCTGCCAAGAACCCACCCACCCATGCTGCCAACAGCAGCTCCCCTCGTGCCTCCTCCCCATAACCATCACTCACCAGCGTTGCGAAGTACTCCGTCTCGCTCTCCTTGCCCCCCTGCGAGCGGATCACCTCTGTCACGGCCGCCAGCACTGCGCAGATCTACGAACAGCAAATGGAGCAGGTCAGTGGCCTCGGCCTCACATTTGGGGGGCCATCCCCACCGGATCTCTCACACTCGGCCCTGCTCCTGCCCATACCTCTTTGTGAGCTGCAGAGTTGGACTCCCAGAAGCGCTGCACCTTGCTGAAGGTGATGTTGGTGCAGTCGCTCAGCCCGCTCAAGAAGGTGCCGGAGGTCTTCTCCGTGGCAGCCTCTGCAGCATCGTCCCCCTCCATAGGGAGCTGAGTGCTGTCACTTGTCCGCTCCAAACGCAGGGACCCTGACTGCAGCTCATTGTGCAGCTTCAACGCATCCACTGTCAAGTTACTTCTCTCTGCCAGGATGAAGACGTACACTCAGAACGACGAAGCTGCATTGCTTCACCATTCACCCTGAAACCCCCCACGATGCTCTCCTCCCCTCCCAGTCAAATCAACTTGGCTGGAGCTCATCTCCAGCATGTGGGACACAGATGTTGCTTCTCGCTGATGGGAGAAAGCACAGCAATAAGTGGAGAGAGCTCCTAATTCCTGGGAAAACAAACCAGGACACAGTCCAGCCATCTCCTCTGAAGGAGAGCATCACATCTTCATTAACACATCCTGATGTACCAAGGCTTTCACGCTGAAGTGCTCCTTGTACTCTGCCCCATTTATCTCCTTCCCCCTGGAGCCCTGTCAACAAGACTGCCAAGGCACACACTTCATGTCCCTGCGAGTCCCAGACACCAGCTTGCAACCAGCTGGAAGCAGGCAGCGTGTGCTACAAGACACGTTTCATTATCTGCAGCAAAAAGATCTCCTGGGCCAACCGCAGCCGGGGCTGTGAAACCCCAGCCCAACGCAGACCGCGATGCTCCGAGGTTTCTCTTCCCCATCACGCAGCGTTCTGGCCTCTGTCGCCCCAGGTCTCAGTAGCCGGGGACCCCCCAAAGCCTGGCCCCGCACCCCCCCGCAGCCCTCGCAGGGAGGGGCCGGGCACAGGGAGCTGCCCGCCTGCCTGCCCTCACCCGCGGGCCGGCTGCAGAAGCGGTTGCGGGCGGCCAGACGGTGCTGGCGAGTCTCGGGGTTGCAGTCGCTGCTGTGGCCCTTCCGCCACCGCTTCAGCTTGGCGGCGGTGCCCGAACGGAGCCGCCCGCTCCGCGCCATGCTGGAACCGGCTCCACGTGCCGCCGCGCCGCGCCCCGCCCCGCCCCCTCGCTTCCGCTTCCGATGCCCGCCGTCCATCTTGAGTGAGGGCAGCGACTGCCCTCAGCGCTTGCTACTTCCCGGCAAGGCGGGTGGGCAGCGCTGTCCGGGAAGCTAAGCAGGGCCGCGCCCTGGTGGGGGCTTGGCTGGGAGACCCGAGGGGGCAGGAGAGCCGGGTATCCCCTCGCAGGGGGAGAAGGCACCGCCAGTGCCGCGCCCGTATGGAACCGTTACACTTCGAGTCGCACAGCCGCGCCGGCGCCCAGCAACGCGCGAGCCGCCACCGCGGACTTACTGCGCTGTGCATTACGGGCGCGGTGACGTCACGCCCTGAAGGTCGCGCCGCCCTTCGCGGTCGCGCCATGCGCTACGTGCGCCTCCGGCCGCCCGCCGCTTTGCGCATGCGCGCGAGTCCCCGTTCCCCTCCCCGTCCCTCCCTTGCCGCGCGAGGAGGGGGGCTGGGCCGCGCCTGTCGCGTCAGTCGCGCGCGGCAGCCGCGTGAGGAGGCAGTGCGCGCGCCCGGGTCGCCCCTCAGCCCCGCTCCTCCGCCATGGCCGCCTACCGCCTCGTCCTCGTCCGGCACGGCGAGAGCGCCTGGAACCTGGAGAACCGCTTCAGCGGCTGGTACGATGCGGATCTCAGCCCTGCCGGTCAGCAAGAGGCGCGGCGCGGCGGCGAAGCCCTCCGAGGTACCAGTGACGGGTAGAAGTGTGTGTGGGGGGGGGGCCGTGAGGGGATGCGGCCTAGTGTGGGCGCCTCGGGCCTCGTGGGGGTGGGTTTGGGGCCCTCTGATGCCAGGGTGGGGGTGGCCCCAGTTCCGAGGGGAAACGCTCTGGTACAGGGTGGGGGCTTCTCCGGTACCGGTCACGTCCTCACCGCCAACGGCAGTGAGGACGCTACCGGTACTGGCGCAGTGAGGCCACGGCCCCTGGCTCCTCACTGGTTGCATAAGGACCCAGACTCATCTCCCCGGTGTCCCCCTCCAACTCCCCCGTTTCCTGTTTTTTTCCAGATGCTGGCTACGAGTTCGACATCTGCTTCACCTCGGTACAGAAACGGGCCATCCGCACCCTCTGGACCGTCCTGGATGCCATTGATCAGATGTGGTTACCCGTTATCCGAACTTGGCGCCTGAATGAGAGGCACTACGGGGCTCTCACAGGTTTGAACAAGGCTGAGACGGCAGCAAAGCATGGCGAGGCACAGGTGAAGATCTGGAGGCGCTCGTACGACATCCCTCCGCCTCCCATGCAGTCCGATCACCCCTTCTACAGCACCATCAGCAAGGTAAGTCCCGTTGCTTTTCACCCGCCTTGCCGGGAGCCTCCTAAAAGCCACCTTAGGCCCCTGCAGTGTGGTCTGGCTTCTTCTGTCTCTGTTGCAGCAGCCACGACTCTAGTACATGGTGCTGGCTGGTGTTGGGCTGAGTTTGTCCTGCTCCCTCCCCAGGGAGGTTGAACCCCTGGGCATTACACAAACAGATTCAAAGCGGAGGGCACGATACATCTGTTAATCATTAGGCCCGTGGATGTTTGCTCTGGTCTCTTTACTCAGAGGAAGCGATGTGCACCTTTCCGTAGGAGGGGTTCAGAGCCCCAACTGTAGCTGAGCACAGGCGCAAACCTCAAAGGCGCTTCTTTGCTTCCAAACCCAGTTTTGCCTACATGTAGCAGGTCCCCTGGCATGGAATTTGGGGTGGGGGGATGTAGGCCCTGCCACCAACTTCCCACGCTGCGTTGGGCTGCTTCGTGAGCGTGGCCGTTCCCCCAGGACCGTCGCTATGCTGACCTGACGGAGGACCAGCTGCCGACATGCGAGAGCTTGAAGGACACCATTGCCCGGGCTCTGCCTTTCTGGAATGAGGAAATTGTTCCTCAGATCAAAGAGGGAAAGCGGGTCCTTATTGCTGCCCATGGCAATAGCCTGCGTGGAATCGTCAAGCACCTGGAAGGTATGTCAGCCCTGCAGGAATATCGTAGGGGTCTCCCCGCTGCCCCAGTGTGAGCAAGGCCACAAGTGACAGCAATTCTGTGTTTGCAGGCATGTCGGAAGAGGCCATCATGGAGCTGAACCTGCCCACTGGCATCCCTATTGTTTACGAGCTGGACAAGAACCTGAAACCCGTCAAGCCCATGCAGTTCCTGGGGGATGAGGAGACGGTGCGCAAGGCCATGGAAGCTGTCGCTGCTCAGGGCAAGGTCAAGAAGTGAGGGTGGGCAGCAGGCTAGCACATAGTAGATGAGTCCCCCGCCATCCCCCCACCCCTCTGTGCACACCCCCCACAGCCATAGGAACTTGGAGCTGCAGAACTGGAGCAGCTCCCCAGGATTAGGCCTGTTCCCTTGGGACCAGGCTCCCCTCTGCAGACAGCCAGGGTCCTGGGGGCGAGGGGCAGTGCGTGTGGAGACCTGGCGTGACAGGGAGCCCTGGCTCTGCCAGGCAGCCGCTGCACCTCTCCACACTGAGAGCCCAGCCCTCGCACCCTGTCTGCAGGGGGATGTGCCGAGCGATCCCTCACTGTGCCAGGCTCCTCCTCTGCTTTGTTTTCCCGGCAGCTCTCATCACCCGGTTACTGTAGTTTTGTTGCTTGAATTTAGTCATCCTGGGAGCAGTAGGGTGAGCACAACACATGGCAACCAAGATGGGTACCCCATCCCCTCGTGGGTGTGTGGCATAAGGACTGGGATGTGTAGATGCTGTATGGCTTGTATTTTGGTGTGTGTGGTACAGCACCCAAGGGTGGTACTCGCAACTCTGGGCCTAGCTCTGCCAACCCCTGCTTTAACTTATTCCCTTTAGCCAAGGGCGAGGGAGGGAGTGGGTCATCTGGAGATTTGTGTCCACCATCTAGTTCCCCAGCCAAAGCCCATCCTAGTCCTGCTGGTGCAGCAGGTGCTGTCGTGCCCCATCCCACATGCGTGTATGTGGCCCTGTTGCTGTGGCCTCCCTCTCTGCCAGTGCTGCGAGCCTGGGCTTGCACAGGGTCAGTGTTAACTGTTCGACAATAGCAGCTGTCTTGTTCCAGTTCAATAAAGGAGTCATGCGCAATAACGAGGTGTCTGTGTGCCACGTGCTCCCAGGCGTGTGGGGCTCCCTCTGTCCCTCAGCACCTCCCTGGGGCTCCTGTCACATGTGTGAGGCAGCAGGCACTGCTGGGGGCAGCTGTGGGGATGCAGAAGGTGCTGGGAGGAGCAAAGCACAGCTCCACTATCCCTGCCGGAGCAGGGGAAAACCCTGACTCGGGTTTTTAAGGCTCCAAGTGCAGGCTGAGCACAGCCGCAGCCCAGAGCGGTTACCAGTGCAGGGAGAAAAGCTGTTCTCTGTGCTTGGGACACCAACCCAGCGAGGTGAGCGCCCGGAACCAGCACCACCCAGCTGCAAACCGAAGCTCTGCCGCTGGCCTGGCTGTGGCAAAGCCACTGGGTTGCTCCCTGGCCCCAGGCTGGGAACACGTGCTTCCTCCCCTTCCTCCCTGCCGCTACCGGAGCCACGCCTGCGCGCTACAGGCAGCCCCAGCCACCCCTCTGCGCCATAACAGAGCAGAGCGCAGAGCTCTCAAAAAATATTTATTATCCAGAAATAGAAAATCCATCCTGCGAGTGAGGGCCTGTCTGGCTGTGACAGTCTGCGTGGAGGGGGGCCGCTAGGTCTGCAGGAACTGGGGCTGCACACGAGCCACCTTACGGAAGTCCTTGGTGTGCGTCCGCGGACACTGCATCTCGCACCAGCTGATGGGCACCATCTGCACCCCTGGGGACACCACATGTCAGAGGTTCCCCTTCCCAAAATTGTGCTCCTCCACAGAGGCTGCATCAGCTGCCCCTCAGGCAGGGGGGAGGCGGAACTGCCGGAGCCTGGGCCCGTCCTTACCTGCCTCGCTGCGTGCCACCACCACGCCCAGCTCATTCTCTGCCGTGCTCAGCAGGTAGTTGGACTGCGCGTCCCCCAGGGAGATCTGGTTAGACAGGGGTTAAGGGAAAGGCCTCCCCGACAGGACTTGAGCAAACCCACCGTCCCTGGCAGGCCCTCCTGGTGCAAGGGGAAAGGATACAACTTTGGCCAGGACTATGTCACCGGGACGGAAACTCTTGTACACTTCTACCTGCAGGGGAAGAAAGCAGGCAAAACTGCACCGCACGTCGGGGTGCTAGTCAGCAGCGGGAGAAGTGCCCCCCCACCAGCAGAAAGCAGGGGCAGCTGCAGTGGCAGTCACCGGCAGCACCTCACTGACCTTATCTTTCTCTGTGGCTCGGATATCTTCTCTCCTGAAAAAGGAGACGGAGGGATCTGAGCACCAGCGAGCAAAGGCGACTCTCCAGCCCATGGCAGGAGCTGCCTCGGCCTCCCTGGGTGCTCGCCAGGACTTTCTGGACACCTGCCCGGTGCTCGGGACAGAGCTCCGGCCAGGGCAGCCGGACGCACCACCCAGAAAAGCTTTCCTCCCCCCTTGAGGATGATGGGGAGCTCTGGCACCCTGTCTCGGGGGGAACCCAGCCCTCTCCCTACCGTATGGTCCCCCGGAAGGTGGATTTCAGTGGTGTGGGGCCGACGTACAGGATGTGCACCTTGGCAAAACGAGAGTTAATGCTGCAAACCTGCCCGGAGGAAAAAGGAAATCAGGCCTGCTCACTCCCCTCGAACACGAACACGCTGCAAGCAGGGAGAGGGCAGGGTGCAGGCAGAACATGGCGGCATGTGGGGAGCTCGTGTCTCACTTGGCCTCTTCCCTGTGACCAAAGTAGTGGTGGCAGAGGTGGGACACCCGGCAGCGAGCCAGGAGAGGAAGATGATACTCATGCAACTCAAGACACATGAATAAGGCCGAGACCTGCTGTGATCCCAGTCCCTCTCCCATCGCCAGGACCATAAGGAAACTAATCCCTGGTCTGTGCCACCCATTCTCCAAGCTGCCCCAGGCACTGCCCTCCCCGCACACTGACCCAGAAAGAGTTCTGGAAGGAAAAGCAAGGAAAAACTTTGCCTCAGGGCAAGCAAAGTTGAGAGGCAGGTGTCCCCCACGCCAATCTGGCTTCTTTGTGAGTGAGGGAGCTGCTGGGCTGCCTCTCCCCTGCTGGGAGCCACGCAAAGGGCACTAATGAGCCCAGGGGCTCCTCATCCCACCCCACGCGTGTCCAGGAACAAAGGTCTGGGAACGGGAAGGCCGTGCAGTTTGCCATCGCGGTGCATTCCGGCGCCCCACCTTGCACGTCACTACGGCCCCCACGTCGGGCAGGAGCTGGGACTCAGCATCTCTCACCACCGACACGACAGGCAGCTGCAGGGCAACAGATACGAGGGTTAGCTAGGGGCACAGCGGGCCCCGGCCGGACCCTGTGGGATCCCAGTGTCCCCAGTTGGGACGGGGCGGCCGCGCAGCCTCGCTCCTCTTCTCCAGGCAGCCTCCTCTTCTCCGCGGCTGCGCTCACCCCGCTCTCCTCGCTCCTCTTCTCCAGGCAGCCAGCCAGCGACGAGAAGATGAAGCCATGCCGGGTGTAAGTCCCGCTGCCAGCCGTGGCCTCCTCCGCGCTGCACAGCCGCTCTCCTGAGGGACAGGGGCTCGGGGTTGTCGCTGCCACGGAGCCACTCCTGGGGGTCCCAGGCCCCGCACGCCGGGCACTGTCCGCCCCGGGCCAGTCCTCTCCCGCAGCCCCCCCGCCCTCCCCCGGCCAACCCTTTGCCTCAAGCAACCCCCTGCCCCGGGCACCCCACCGCCCCTCCCCGAGCCGCCCGGCCCCACGCTCACCGGGGACGCAGTACCGTGCGGGAGGCGCCATGTTCGCTGCCGAACGCCGTTCGTCCGTAGAAAGCCCTCACCCTATTGGTTCTCGGCGGCAAGACCGCGCTGTAAGCGGCGCGGCTATTGGCTCTCCCCTGTCAGGAACGGAACGGGTGGGGGGGAAGGGTGGCGCTGCCTGCTGGGAGTTGTAGTCTGGAGCCGGCTAGAGGGCGCTTCCCGGCATGCTCTGCGCGGCCGGCGCGCCGGCGCAGTGCGATCGGCGGCGGGAGCGGCGCGTGGGGGTCGTGAGGGCGGCGGGGCCGCCAGGCATGGAGGCGGCGGGCGGCGGGGCGCGGGCGGCAGGTCGGCGGCGCCTGGCGGGGCTGTTGCTGCGGGGTGGGCCTGGGATGGACCGTGGGCCTCCATGGGGCTGGGAGCTGATGGGTGCGCGTGTGCTGTGGGCCTGGGTGGGCTGAGGGGCAATATCGGGGCGTGTGGGGTTGGGAGGCAGTGGGGGATGTGGGGTGTGCTGTGGGCGCTGTGGCGTTGGGAGACAAAGCGGGGGATGCTGTGAGGCTGGGGATCCCAGGTGTTACAGGGCTAGATGCAGCGGGGTTGGGGGCTTTTTGCTGTTGGTGTGGGCAGCCTGTGCGTGACGGGGACGGGTGCCAGAGTGTCTTGGTGCTGTGGGGCTGGGTGCTTGGGAGCTGGAGAGCCGGGCACCACTGGAGGGTGCCACAGAGCTGGGGCTGGGTGGCTGGACCCGGCAGGAGCAGGGCCCTGGCCAAATCTAAGGTTCACCACCCCCCGGGCTGTGATGTTGCCTGTGGTCTTGGCTGTGCTGCTGGTTGCTGCCCCATCCCTGTAGGCTCATTCCCCTCCCTGGGATGTGGGGAGGGCTGTGGGCAGGGTGAAGGCTGGAGCCAGTGCCTGGCTGGGCCAGGGAGGGTGCGTGGCTCTGCTGGAGCCTCATCCCTGTGGCCATGCTGCTGCCTGGGGACAGAGGGATGTCCTGCCCTGGGGCAGGCTGGCTGCCTCCCCTCTGGGCTCCCTGCTGAGCAGCTGCCAGCTGTTGTAGGCAAGGAAATCTTTCTGAGGGGCAGGGAGGTGCTGTGTGTTTGGAGGGGAGGGCTGACCCTAAGACCTGCCTGCAGCATTTTGTCTCTTACCTCACTGACATGGACATGTGTGCCACCCAAAGGCTGCACAGCAACAAATCCTTGCTCTGCTTTGCACCTGATGTGCTTCAGAGGAAAGCAGAGTTAAGGGGAAACGTGCAGAAGGGAGTGTCACTGGCGTTGGCATATCCCACCTCTCCCTTACCAGGGTACAGGAGATGTGGGGGGTACAGCAGCACAGGGAGCCGGTCCTTGCTGGAGGGACTCTGTGGTGGGGCACCACTGCCTGGCACCACGCCGAGGTGAGCACTTGGCTCAGGCTCAGAACGTCCCTTGGCAGGACCCTGGGGCAGCCTTGCTACTTAATATTGATGGGCACTGCCTGCATGGAGGCCTGGGGGCCCCAGCCCTGCAGATCGTTTTCCCAGCTGTTGGGCCGGCTCGGGTTCCTCCTTGCTCCCAGCACAGCTCTTGCGGGGGGATGAGGGACAGGGGAGTGCTGTGCAGCATTGCCTCAGCCTGGGCCTGCCCCTGATCTGCTCCTTCACTGGTGCATGGTGTCAGCCAAGGTGGATCCAGGCAAGGGGAAGGAGGAAGTGTTGGCACTCTCTGAGTGGGGATGTAAGGTTCGGAAAGGTGCAGGGTGGCCTCTACAGCTTGATCCACAGGTTGAGGTGAAGAGAAGTAGCATCCAGGCCCTGCTTTTTGGGGCTGAGGAAAAGGACCAAGGGAGCAGAGGTAATCCTGGCTCGGCCCTTCTGTATACATCTTGTGTGAGTTCCCCCATTCCCAAACCTGTCGGAAAGGGCTGGGTCTGGGATCGTCCCTGGAACTGGCCCAGCATCCTGGATGCTCATGCCTTCTCTGGTTTCCTCTGAGTCAGACTCTCCGTGTCGCTCCCCCGGCCCCCTCCCCGCTGGGAAAGACGAGATGGGAGCAGAGAGCATCCGAGCCCAGACGCCGAGGGGCCTGTGCCCCCCGCTCCATGCAGGGAGCTGTCCCAGCGACAGCGGCCTCACAGCCTCCGGGAGACTGGGCTCAGCTCCCCCTGCTCTGCACCCTTGTGCAGGGCAAAGGAGAGGCCCCTGCCCTGCTGTGCAGGCAGGTGTCCGGCAGAATCGGTGCAGGGAGCTGCACGACCAGGGAGACCCTTCCTGAGAGGCAGCCAGGCAGCAGGGTGGCCTGCCCACACTGAACTCCTCTCCCCCCAGGCGTGGCATGGCAGGGATGAGGAGCCGGCAGCGGATGTTTGCGGCGGTGATGCGCCTGCTCCTCAAGTGCCTGCGGCTGGGCCGGCGGTGGCGGTTTAAGCTGGTACGGCAGGCAGAGCACCTGTGGCACTACGGGCACCTCTGCCTCCGCTCCCTGCTCTACAACTCCTTCACCAACAGCGACGTGGTGCTTGACTCCCTCTTTGAGCCCGTCTACTGGCTGGTGGACCATGTCACCCGGTGGTTTGGCGTGGTGAGTACCCTCACCGGGCAGGGGGCACCCGGCTCTGGGGCGAGCGGGCTGCTGGGTCAGCTGAGTCTCAGGGCTGCCTGTGCTCTAGGCAGGAAGGGAGTGGGGACCTCACTGTGTGGTTCAGACTGGTTTCCTATGGCCGTATCCCACCTGTGCCTCTCCCCAGGCAGCGAGGGGCAGGCGCAGCCCACTCCGGTGACCCGGGTCCCTTTCGCATAGGTGTTTGTGGCACTGGTGATCGGGCTGACAAGCTCCATCGTGGCCATTGTGTACATCTGCCTGCTGCCCCTCATCCTGCAGACCTACACGCCTGCCTGGATCTGCTGGCACCTCGCCTACGGACACTGGAACCTCATCATGATCGTCTTCCACTACTACATGGCCATCACTACCTCTCCGGGGCACCCACCGCAGGTGAGGCACCAACTGGCCAGCGCAGCCTCTCCCAGCTGGTGTACTGGGGACCAGCTACGGACAATCACTGGGAAGAGTTAAACCACCCTGGTGACTTTGTTGCAGGAGGCCTCCTCCAGATTGGGGCAGCTAGGCTGGGGAGGCGGGGGGGCCACAGGGGAGGTGGGGAGCAGAGGATGGGTGCAGGGCTTGGGTGCACAAGTCTCTTCTGACCTGTGTGCAGGCCAAGGGCGATCTCACCGGCGTCTCCGTCTGCAGGAAATGCATTGCCCCCAAGCCGGCTCGCACCCACCACTGCAGCATCTGCAACAGGTAGGGCTCCCTCCCTCTGCCCACCGCAGCACTCGGGGCAGCCTCCAGGACCCCTCCCCTTCTTGCCCCCTGCCACAGTGTGAGACCAGGGCCCTTTCCCCTCTGCTCTGCCGGCTTCTCGCCTTGTCTCTCACCCAGCCCGCAGGGCTGGCGCGGCTGCCTGCCCCCTCCCGAACACGGTGCTTGAGCTGGCACTGACACTGGCGCTGTTCTCCTCCCTCCCAGGTGCGTGCTGAAGATGGACCACCACTGCCGTATCCTTCTGCGGTACTAACCTGTGGCACTCTCCCGGGGGGAGCCAGCCCTGCTTTCCCCTTCTCTCCCTGCCCTACTCCCATCCCCAGTCAGCCAGCACGGGGAAGGGGGCCTGGGGGCTGGGCCCAGAAGAACCGCCCTGGTCCCTGGGGTGGGTTTGGACCTGTGGTCTGTCACAGTTACGTACCTTTAACCCCAGAGGCAGCGTGGCTAAACAACTGTGTGGGACACTACAACCACCGCTACTTCTTCTCTTTCTGCCTGTTCATGACCATGGGCTGCATCTACTGCAGCATCAGTGGCTGGGAGATGTTCCGGGATGCCTACGCAGCCATCGAGGTGAGCAGGCACGCCCGGCCCTCGCCCTGCTGTGCACCGAGGCTGCCTGGGCTCCCCAGGCTGAGCTTGCAGAGCAAGGCTGGGCAAGACCTGGCATTGTAGTGACTTCGCTTCCTCTCTTCCTCCTCCTGCGAGACCCCAGCTGCCCTGGTCCTGTGGGGAGGGTGGTGAGAGGAAAGGGCCCCCTCCTCTGAGACACGTAACTGGTGCCCTGTTTTCCATCCCCCTAGAGAATGAAACTGCTTGAGAAGGAGAGACTGCAGGTGGCTGCCAACCAGGTGGGACATCCCTGTCCCCCAGCTGCTCCAGGCAGTGTGGAGCAGAGCTGCCCTGCAGGCTGGGTCCTGCTTGGGGCCCTGCTCTCAAGGAGCACCCCACAGCCAGAACCAGCCCCTGTGCTCATCTCGCGTGTCGGAGAGCTGGGGCTGGCCGGGCAGCTCTGCTCCGGGCACTGCCTCCAGCAGCTTGGGGTCTGCTTCCCCGTGCACCCAGCTTCCAGGGGCTTTGGCTGGTGGCAGCTGCTTGGCATGTGCTGCTCAGGCCCTGCTCTCCTGGGGAAGCTGCAGCGGTGCGTACACATCTTGCCCTCAGCATCAGCTGCAGTGTGGTGCGGCATCCTGACCGGTCCCACGGCTGCTCCCTGACCTCCAGCCCACTGCTTCTCACCCGTGTGCCAGCTCTCGGGTGTCTGTCTGTCTCGTGGCTGTCCCAGGCTGCCCCCCACATCACCCTGGCTGTTGTGTTGGCTCCAGCCGCAATCCTTGCTAGCTGTCTGAGCTCTGCATCAGTGAGGGCTACAGCAGTCTTCCCGGTCTGGCTTCAAGCTAAAGCTATAAAGCAGTTTGAGTAATCCCCATCTCTCTGGTCCTTTTTCAGACGTACTACCAGACCCCGCCACCCACCTTCTCTTTCCGCCAGCGAGCATTCCACAAGAGTGTGGTCTACCTCTGGGTCCTGTGCAGGTGAGGGGGCCCAGGGGCTGGGAACGAGGGTGGTGGGGGAAGCAGCATGCAGCCCTCTGCCTCCCCGAGGCTGACCGGGATTGCTCTAGCACAGACGTCCCTGCCCTGTCAGCTCCTGGGCCACAGAGGAGAGATTTCGGCTCTCATGGGGGATTACATGAGCCAACCCCCCTGCACAGCTGTGGGTGCGGGGAGGCAGCCTCAGCCCCGCACAGCTGTGGTGCCAGGAAGGCAGGCCTGCATGCAACCTGCTGTCCCCTGCCATCCCCCAGCTCGGTTGCGTTGGCTTTGGGTGCCCTCACGCTGTGGCATGCTGCCCTCATCACCCATGGGGAAACCAGCATCGAGCGGCACATCAACAAGAAGGAGCGGCAGAGACTGCAGAAGAAAGGCAAGGTGAGCACCGCTCCCAGGGCAGGAGGGCTGGCCAGGGCAGGGCCAGACGTGATGCGGGTTTCCCTGGCACACAGGTCTTCAGGAACCCTTACAGTTACGGCAGCTGGGATAATTGGAAGGTGTTTCTGGGCGTGGACGTGCCAAGGTAAAGTCCCGGGGAAGCCCCTGCCTGGGAAGGTGATGGCTCAGCAGCGTGTGGGGGTGCTGGACCCTGGGGCTGTACGCTGCTCCAGGCTGCTCAGGGCACACAGGACCTGGGCAGCAGCTGCCTTGTGGCTCCTCAAGCCCTACCTGGGGGCAAGCTCTGGCCTACCCAGCGCCCCTTTGCCAGGAGTCCCCCCGAGGAGCTCAGCCATCACGGCAGCTCAGGACCATGGGGCTCACAGCCCTGGCTTGGCTCTGCAGAGCTGAGAAGCACCGAGGCTTCAGCTCTTTGCCACGGTCTCACTCCTATCCCCGTAGGCACTGGCTCACCCGCGTCCTGCTGCCCTCTCCTCACCTGCCCCACGGGACAGGCCTGAGCTGGGACCTGCCTCCCTGCATGACCGAGCAGCGCGCTCCGCTCCTGGCCATCTGAGGCCCGGGACCTGCAGACGTCCCTCCCCGCAGGCAGGGGAGCGCAGAGGGGACCCGCTCCGCCGCCGCGGCTCGCCTTTGGCCCAGGGGTCTGGCAGCAGGCGGGTGCTGGCACGTGGCGCTGATCGGAGCCAGAACCACAGGAAACTCTTTGGACAGTGTCGGTGCCGGGAAACCTCCTCTCTGGGCTCCTTGGTGGCTGCGGGCAGCCCCCGGGGAAAGGCGGCAGAGCTGCTGTTCCCCGCTCTAGCCGAAGGCGTTGCCCTCGCTGGCACAGGTACAGGCCAGCACGGGGCCCAGCTCAGCTCTCCGGCAGGGCTGGGCGCAGAGGATGGCATCCCTGGCCCCCAAGCACTTCCCAGGGAGCCTTTTTAAGACTATCCAATAAATTTTTTTTTTTTTTTTAAGGGTGTCCAGCTCTTTTCCCTGGTGAGGGGCACAGGCTTCTGGACACAGGGGAGGAGAGGGATGCCCACACTTCCCCAGTGTCAAAAGAAGAGTAAGGGCCTGTAACCAGCAGCACCTTGAGCTACTCACCCTCTGGAGGGGCACTGGGGTCCCAGCCTGAGCTGTACAGAGACCCCCTACAGCATTACCAAAACAAGATAGATTTATTTCTCTGGCGCATGGGTTGCCACACACTGTACACGTGTGCCCTGCGCCCTCTCCACTCCCAGGGCAAGGCTGTCTGTCACTGTCCCTGGCTGCAGCAGAGGCTGGGCAAGCCACCAGCGGCACAGCTCCTTCCCCCCAGGGGGTGCCGGGAAGAGGGGTGGCGGTGCCGGGAAGGTGCCGCAGTGAGGGGTGCTGTCTGCCAGCCCCCACCCTCGGGGCAGCACTGGGCTCCGAGGGTCCGTGGCGGCGGTTGGATGGCTTGGCGGGTTAGCAGGGGCCCGGTCAGATTGTCGGTCAGCACAGGGAGGGGGCGCAGGGCACTCACCTGCCCGGGCTCCCCAGCAGGAACCTGTGGGGACGGAAGTGGTGCCATCAGCCACGTCCCCAGCACGCCGGCACCCCAGCAGCTCCAGCCACATGCACTCACCATTCCCCCCGCGCTGCCACCGCCTCCTTCCGCACCAGCCTCTTCTTGTCATCCAAAGGCTTGGCCAGTGCCCGGATAACTCGGGCCTTGTACGGGAGCAGCTGTAGGACAGAAAGGGCTCTTGGTGAGAGAGCTGGGTGCTGGCTGCCCCCCAGGAGGAGGTTGGGCTCCCCCTTGCCCCTCCATGCAGGAGCAGGCAGCTGCAGGAGCACTTACCGCTGTTGTGGGCAGGCTGGTAAGCGCGTGGGCGCAGCGCAGGGCAGCAATGCGGACAGCCTGGAACAGACAGGGGTGAGGGCAGCCCGAGGCGCAGGGGCGGAGGAGAGGGAAGGAGGGGGCGCACGCACCATGGTGGGGCTGGAGGTGAGGCTGAGGAACTTGGTGACCAGTGTGTCGACGTGCAGGCTCATGATCTGGGGAGCTTCGAGCAGCAGCGGCTGGAGGCAGCTCAGCGTGGAGAGCTGCACCACACGGTCCGAGCAGGACAAGGCCTCAAGCAGGAGGGGAAGCAGCTGCGGGTGGGGAGGGTGTGGGAGACATGAGTAATTCCCGGCCACGTGCTCTGCACTGCCCCAATCCCCGCCAGCGCCACGGCCGGCTCTCACCGTGGGCAGCTCCGTCACCAGCACAGGCTTGGGGAGGTGGTTGAGCACATGGGACAGGCCCTTCAGGTAATTGGCCTTCACATCTGTGGAGAGCGGAGATGGTTACAGGCAGCCAGGGGAAGGGGGGGGATGCTGGCTGAGGTCCACAGGGTAAGGGGTCAGAGGGTGGCGAGGCCGGGCTGGGGGTGGCCACTGACCGGGGCCAGCCCCGTGGAAGCCCTGCACCAGCTTGGGGACGTTGTCGGTGAAGAAGCGCTGGCGGAACATGATGCGCACGTCGGCGTGGCAGCCCTTGTGCAGCACGTCCGGGGACTCGGCCATCAGCAGGGAGAAGCCGTCAGCTGCGGCGGGGCCCAGCTCCGCGTCGCCGAGCAGGCCCAGCAGCTGCAGGGGAGAGAGCCCTGAGACGGGGTGTCCTGCCGCGGGGCGGGGGGGTTCCAGCTGGCCACGGTGGGGGGGGGGAGCGGGCAGGCCCCCCCGGGCATCACCCAGCCCCACTGGCGCCTACCTTGTCAGTCAGGTGGGAGCTCAGGGGGTGGTAGCGCAGCACCAGGGCTTTGGTCACCTGTGGAGGCAGAGCAGAGTCAGCGCCAGGCCACCCCCCCACCCCGGCTCCTGCATCCACAGCCAGGCTTACCCAGAGCAGCAGAGCAAGCGCCTGGGTTCGGCGGGGCCCCTCCGCGAGGCCGGGCTCCATCCTGTTCACTGCAAGCTGCAGGATCTCATCCAGCTGCTGCCCTGGGGACACGGAAGGGACAGGCTGAGCCATTCCCCTGCCAGCAGTGTGCAAGGACCCACGGTGTCCTGCCCAGCCCCCTTACCCGCCGGGTGCTTGTTCACCAGCCCTGCAAAGCACTTGGCAGCTGTGGTGGCCGTGAAGGGGCAGTTGCAGGAGCAGCTCAGCGCCAGCAGCTCCCGGAGCAGCCGTTCCTGCTGAGGAATTGCCACCTGGAAGAGACACGGAGCGTGTTACAGCCCAGGGCTGCAGCTGCTCCCTTCCTCGGCCCGTGGAACTTGCTGCAGACCCAGGCAGGAGGGCGCTCAGCCAGGGCTCCTCTCCACCCTGCTCCCCTCCAACTCACATCTCGGGGCAAGGAGCAGACGAAGGCCATGAGGAGGGTGACCAGGCGCCTCTGTGCCTCCAAGCACTCCCCATCCTGCAGGGAAAGAAAAGCACCCATGTCATCACGGTCCTTGCTGCCAACCTGTGCAGGCATCCTCCTTCCCGGACCCTGTTCTAGCACCCAACACACCTCGAAGGGCTGGAAGGAGCAGGGAAAACTGTTCTGGGGCAGGAAGGAGACCTCTCCGTCCAGGAAGAGGGGTACCACATGAGACACACTCTGGGCAGCCAGCCTAGGAGAAAGGAGACATTGCAATGTGCTGCTCTGGGACAGTCAAAGAGCTCCTGGGTACCTTCCCAGGAGGCACAGGGTGCCCCTGAACAGAGAGCAGCAGGGGGGACGCAGCCAGCCCCCTCCCCACGATGGAGTGCCCAGCGTCCCACCCCAGCATCACTCACTCAGGGCTCAGGTGAGTGGTGGCAGCGCTGATGACGGGGACCATGGCAGCCAGCACCTCTTCCTCCAGCAGCGCCTTGCCCAGCAGCGGGTGGGTGCTCTCTGCAGGCAGCGGGAGAACAGGGACGTGCTGGGCCCCGCTGCCCGGAGGGAGGAGGCTGGCCACCCCCTGACTCACGCCGGCCCCGAGGCAGGGCTGCTCGGCCTCTGGCAGGGGCCCGCAGTGCCCGCGGTTGCCGGAGGGCGGCAGCAGCAGCAGCACTGGCTGCAGGCTCAGGAACCCCAGGGAGCTGCCTGCTCTCCCCTCTCCCGCTCCAGCCCCGCACCTACCTTGCATAGCAGCCTGCACGGCCATGGCCAGCAGGCAGGGCACCACTGTCTGGTGGTAGTACCAGCAGCCCTCCGCGTCCTGCTGGCACTGCAGGGCCACGCGGTGCAGGCTCTGGTAGACAGACACCATGTCCTGGGCACTCCCGGCCTCGCTCCCTGCAGGGCAGAGTCACTGTCACATTAAACAGCCGCAGCACCCGCCCCCCTGATCTGCTCCAGGATCCCGGGGGCGATGCAGCCCTCCCTACTCCCCCTCCACCTGCAGGATTCACAGCCCAGCCCTGGGCTCCTCACACCACTGCCATCCCCACTCTCTCCCAGCCATCCCCAGCAACAGAGGCTGCTCCTGCCCAGACACTGCCTGCCATGGGCTGCGTTACCTCTCTGCACCTTCCGGAGATGCTGCAGCAGGACAGGGACAGTCTCCCTCACGATGCTGGTGTGGGTGGACACGGCTGCCAGGGCCTGCAGGCACCGCTGCCGCAGGGAGCAGCGGTCATGGGAGCTCTCCTCTTCCCGCTCTGAAGAGGAAAGACACCTCAGAGGGGTGCCGGGGTGACCCCAGGCCCCCTCACCCAAGGGCATATCAGGGCCAGGACCCTGCCAGGGCGGATGGGGTGAAGTAGCGCAGCAGAACTAGCCCATGCCAGGCCCAAGGCACTCTGCCTGCTCTGTGGCCCACAAGGCTGATCCTGGCTGCACAGGCCAGTTGCGAGCAGCAGGCACAGCCTTCCCTGTGCCAGCACCACAGTGCCTGGGCTGGGAATCCCCCCGAGGAGAACCACTGACCTATGCCATATGGCACAGCCCTGTTTCCTGGTTGGAGCTGAAAGGGGAGACAGGCTTCACCGCAAAAAATCAGACATTGCTCCCTTCCCAAGGCTGCGAGCCCTACCTGACTGCAGCTCCTCTTCAAGCCTGGGTACCATGCGTCCAGAGAAAACCTTTGGGTAGATGGGGGCCAGAGATCCAGCTGCCTCCATTGCTGCTTCGCTGCCAGAGGGGAAAAGAGTAGGAGGGGTGGGTGATGTCAGCACTGCAAACCCGGGGCTGCTTGTACACCAGCTGCACACATCGGGGCCACAAGGTGCTTCCAGAAACCCATTCCTCAGCAATCTGCCTTTTTCACCCTACTGGCAGGCAGAGCAGAGTCTCCTACTTTTGACAGGCCCACACTTTCTAATTTCCAGCCCATAAATCTCCTGATTTATCCCTTTGCTCTTACACCCACATGGCCTTTCAGTTCAAACAGTTCCTGTGCCTTCTCCCAGACTATGGCCCCTCTCTGCAGCAAAGCCAGGCTTTGTTCCTCTACCCAGAGCGTGGGTGACTGCAGCGGTGCCAGCCCACCCCTCACCTGCTCTGGGAATCCTCCTCACAGAGAGCAAGACGGATGAGGTGATCCACAGCCAGCTCCAGGTCAAAGGGAGATAGGAAGCCTGGAACAAAAGCCGTAGAGGAGTCCTGCCCTTGGCGAAAGGCAAAGATGCTGGTGTTCTGCCCAGCATCCTTCCCCCTCGTCCAGGCTAGCAGCAACACAGCAGCATGCCGAATGCCAGAGATACAAGGTATCCAGCATAGGCAAGAGAAAGACCAAGTGTTCCTGGAGCTCATGGCCTGCATAGAAAATGCTGCCACTGCTCCTGTGGCAGCATCTGCTTGCCTACAGGCAGCAGGCAAGGACATCCCAGCACCCACGTTGCACTAGTGTCTCCCAGAACAGGGTGACACGTCCCCTCTGCCTCCCCAAGGGAAACAAGGCACCAACCTTGCAGGGAGCCCAGGACAGTCAGTGCCCTGATCCCGACCAGCTGCAGCTGCACACTGGGATCTGTCAGTGCCGAGTACACAACCGAGCAAACCGGGGCTCGCAGCGACAGCAGAGCGCTCTCATCTGGAGAGAGAGGCAC